GGACTAGGTGACCCTGAAGGTCCCTTCCAACTCTATGATTCTGTGATTGTAACACCAAATCCACAAGGGGGGGGGGATAACAAATATTGGATTATGCTAAATAAAACAAAAAATCGTTACCCACTGGCAGATGACAACAATAATTTTTTAAAGAATTCATATTATTTTAAAAATAACAATAATTTAAGACCTTGGTCAAGGACAGTTCTGTTCCCAGAAGTCACTTAAAAACGATCCACTTGGAATTAGAACATAGCTAATCCTTTAGAAAGTCTGGCTGACAGTCTTGGGCAAATTATTGACACAGCTGATATCTTTTCAAAAGTGTGTTGAAAAATTATTCTTTCGTTTTTTGTGTAGCATGTTGTAAAAGTCTAGTGAATGATATCAGGAGGAGGAAAGGCCAACACACCCCCACAGGAAAAAACAGCAATAAAACCCTGGATTATCAATTCAGCTAAAGTATATACTGTGTAGAGACGGTCAAAGAATATGAATTAACTATTCTAATGCTTTTAAGAGCATACCCACTTATTAAATTAAATGTGATGACTCCAGCGAAGACAAATATCCGTAGCTGGCCTAATGGCTTTTTTGGCTGAGTTCCAAAGAGCTGCCTTAAGAACTACTGAGGTGATTGTTCATGATTGATTTTTTTTTATCGATTTAGCAGTTAAGATTTCAGGCAAACAGGAGAAGCTGATGGACTAGAAGTACGGAATACAGACTGGATTAAGAGGAAGGAGATTGTGTTGATGCCCCTCTGTTCAGCCTCCAGTAATCCTCTGGTTTGGATCATCTCTCAGTGCTTTGTGGCGGACATCTTGGCATAAGGGCCTCTGGCCGAAGGCATCAGATGGTGTTGTTTTGCCCAGCTACAAAGGAACTGATACTGGAATGGGTTTTTGTTAATGGCAGGTTGGCAATGTAGGTTTATAGAATGGCTCTTTGTGTATTTAATAGATGTTGTTCTCAAAGATCATTTCGGGGGGGATCGCGGGGGATCGCAGTTCTCCCGGGTGAGGTACGGACGAAGCCCCGCCCCCTGCTTCTGGCCGCCCCGCTTCCGGCCCTCATTCAGCCAGGAGGAGGCAGGAGAAGAGGGAGGGTAAGTTGCTTCCTCCCTGCCTCTCCCCACCCCTGCCTGCCTGGGGCCAGGGAGGGCCTTCGCGGGGCTTCCTTGCACTCCCGCCGGCCTTGCAGGTCCCGGCAGTGGAGCTGCAAGGCCGGCGGCGGTGGCCGGGACCGTTGGGGGCGGGGTGTGTGGCCTTATGACACACTTCCAGTGATGTCAGGGGGTGTGGCCTTATGACACACTTCCGGTGATGTCAGGGGGTGTGGCATATGCCAATGAGTTATGCTAATGAGTTCCCCTAGCTCTTTTTCTACGAAACGACCCCTGGTTGTTCTGATTTCCTGCAGACATGGCTGAAGTACTGCTATTCGGCATCAGAGATGTGCTAGATGGTGGTAGTGGGAAGTGCTGTGAAGTCACAGCTGACTTATGGCAACCCTGTAGGGTTTTCAAGGCAAGAAATGTTCAGAGGTGGTTTGCCATTGCCTGCCTCTGCATTGCAGCCCTGGTATTTCTTGGGGGTCTCCCATCCAAATACTAGGCAGGGCTGACTCTGCGTAACTTCTGTGATCTGACAAGATCAGGCTCGTAGAGATGTTTTATTTATCTTATTTATTGGATTTATATCCCACCCCTCTCCCACAGCACAGGGCTTGGGGTGGCTCACATTTTCAAAGACATACAGTGGAGCCATAAGGTTTCATCATTAAAACAGATTAAAACAGTTAAAATCTTGACCTTCTCCCAGTATCTAGAAATATTCCAAAAAGAAAACATCTGGCGGGCTCCACTGAAAATAAAAGGATTAGCCAAAGAAACAATTCTGTCTTGCATGCCTTGCGGATCAACCACTGCATCCAGACATAAAGACATAAGAGAAGCCAATGTTGGATCAGGCCAATGGCCCATCCAGTCCAACAGTCTGTCACACAGTGGCCAAAAATACCAGGTGCCATTAGGAGGTCCAGCAGTGGGCCCAGGACACTAGAAAGCCCTCCCACTGTCCCCCCCCCCCAAACACCAAGAATGCGGTGGATCACTTGCTCCAGCCTGAGAGTTCCTCTCTATACCTTAAGAACATAAGAGAAGCCAATGTTGGATCAAGCCAATGGCCCATCCAGTCCAACAGTCTGTCACACAGTGGCCAAAAATACCAGGTGCCAACAGGAGTTCCACCAGTGGGGCCAGGACACTAGAAGCCCTCCCACTATTGCCGCCCCCAAGCACGAAGAATACGGTGCATCCCTTGCCCCAGACTGAGAGTTCCTATCTATACGTTGTGGCTAATAGCCACTGATGGACTTCTGCTCCATATGTTTATACAATTCCCTCTTGAAGCTGTCCATGCTTGTAGCTGCCACCACCTCCTGTGGCAGTGAATTCCATGTGTTAATCACTCTTTGGGTGAAGAAGTACTTCACTGACCCATGGCTGAGAGGGCTGCATCTGACTGCTTATCCAGCAGGAAAAAGACTCGGATGTCATCAGCATATTGATAGTCCCAACGCAAAATCTCCTGACGAGCTTTGCTAGAGGGTGCATATATATATTCAGCAGCAACAGGGACAGTAGCGAACCCTACGGAATACCACAGTCTGGTGCACACAAGGAGGAGAACTGGTCCCTGACAGCAACCCTCTGAGAGCCTCCCTGGAGGAATGAGGAAAACCAATTCAGGTCT